AAGTGGAATACCCATGTTTGTAAAATAACAAAAAGAGCAAATAAGCTATTATTCCTTCTCAGAGAGTGTAGGAAATCCTTCCTACCACCCGAGATTGGTTTATTAACATATACGTCGAAGATCCGGCCAATACTTGAATACGCCTCTCCAGTTTGGGGTGGAATCCCTAAATATCTTGAAGTAGAAGTTGAACGTGTTCAACAAAGAAGCTTGAGAATCCTAGGATTGGAGAAAGATACCCTCCCTACACTAAAAGAAAGAAGGGACAAGGCAACATGCAACGAGCTGAAAAGGATCGTGGAAGTCCCAAACAACCCATGTAATCGTTTCCTATCTGGTAATAAGAATCACACTTACGAACGGAGAAGGACCAGAGACAGCACTCCAAGACAGCTCTCAAAAACACACAGGCATAGTACGTCTTTTATCCCAAGGGCGTGTAGATTAACCAACTCATGAAATTAGATCATTGTACATATGTATATAAAAACTTCTTAAACTTTCTAATTTTTACATTCTCATAGGTTAAACATCTATTTTAGTATATATTTTTAACTTGTAAATCCATTGTATTTCTATATGCCAAAGATGAATATTTAACAATAAAATTTGAATTTGAAATTTGAGGTCATCTGTACAAGAACCCATGATGTTTCGAATCACAGCAACCACTTCGAGCACATTTCGACTCGATCATGTTTACATCATACATGAAAATTGATACATATGTAATACGAGACCGAAATATGGTTGTATTTTGACGAATATTATCGATATAACGAAATATAAAACCCCAATATGTATAATTCCATTAGGTGGTCTGCACATATTCCCTTGATGGTGGAAAATACATCGAAACAAAAGAAAAATCCAATATTATCTGCTCACCAACACGTCACCACTCCTCAGTAAAAATGAGTGCATAGTCAGCATTTTTAGCTCCCAGCAGAGCACGTTTACTTCCGGAAAACACCAGAATTTGTGGTGTTCCGGTTTGGCTTGTCCAAGGGCTTACGGCAACGCAGGCAGCCGAGAAGCCCTGGGAACGAGGATGGGACAAAACATGTGCGGATGAGTTTTTCAAGGACTATGTAAATAGCATGAGTCCGAACGACGAGTGGAAAAACGCACGAGTTCTTGTTTTATCCACATTGCCCTAGAAAACATGCTATTATATACGCTTATTATATACACAAGAACTACATGCAGAAACCCCTCGCCTTGCTGGAAAAACCATTATATTTTCCAAACGTGAAGTATTTAAACACGATCATTTTATTAAGAATATTTTTTAAATTGAAAAATCCCCTAAAAATATCATTTTTAATTACAAAATTATCAATTTCCCAAAAATATATATAGGCCGTTGGATGAGAGTCGAAAATGTTCAATTCCGTAGCACCCCTCGTGTAACTACATAATTTTTACATGAATTGATAGATTAGAACTTACTTAGTTAGAATCCACTTCCCCCCAAGCGAAATAGTAACGTTGCACAAATTGAAGTACAACCTCTCCAAAGTTTAGGCTTTCTTGTATTTCGAATTCCGTGAACGGCCATTGTTGTGTTGCAAATACACATGCGCTTGACCACAAAACACTTACTGCGCACGCGAAGATTAGAAAAACTGATCTCAATCCAGGACTGGACAAACCTGGACAAGAAAAAAATTATGAAATGGGCGAAAAAAAGGACTGAAATAAAACAAGATGACATCGGAGTGTTTTTAAAATATATGATATTTTTATGTTCTGTGCATTTTAATGGCGTTCTCCAAACATTCTGATGATGTTATTTTATACTACAGCAATTGCTAACGTTTGCGCGCGCCAGCAAATCTGTTTTTCAGGCTTTAAACGTTATCACAATCCTAAACATTCAGGGCCGTACACAGCGGGAAGTCGGGGGGGGGGGGG